TATCAAATTTAAATAAAACTTAAATGATAAAAATAAATATTACAACCAGATTAATCACTTAATTGTAGAAAAAAAAATACAATTATTAACCCATTAAAAATTTTTTTAAAGGAATATTCACACAGTTTTTCTTCCTTTAATTATCATTTGATTTTAAATAAATGTTTAATGCCTTCATTTGATTTTCAGAAAAATTAAAACAAGAATTTCTGGGGGGAAAAAGAAAGAAAGAAAAAGTTTGTAGGGCCCTATTGTGGGAGACTTTCGGACTTATTTTTTCACTGAAATAATTTTCTTTTGTAATTACACAGAGAGTAAAGTACCGAAAAAAGGTACCGTTGGGTACCGGCGCCGAAATTCAGGTACCGATACCGGTACCGTACTGGTTAAAATGTGAACGGTACCCAACCCTACTTGAGATGAAGGTTAAATGCTTACCACTGGGTGGTTTGGGTCGCGGTGGTATGCTTTTCTTGGGTGGGAGAGCTGGCATGTCTTGTTTTCGGCTGAAGGGGTCGTCTACAAAGCCCTATATTAAAGCGCAGTGGAAAGGAGAAGCGGTGGGCCATTATCAGACACATAAGGTGCAAACCGCGCAAATTATGAGTGGGACATCAATCAAAACCACATCTTAAAAATGTCATGTTGCAAAAGCATGAGAAAGTGAAGTTCCACTATGCTTAAGATGCAAATGTAAAATGTGATAAAGGTGTTCATTACCTTTGACATTTGGCTGAAGTCTGCAAATCCGCTGCTGCTGCCGAACGAACTGCTTCCGAATGGGTCCAAAGTACCGAAGAAATCTGGAATTGGCAGAGAAAAACAATGAGGCAATAGTATAACAAGTCAAGAAAATTGAAAAATTATGTTAGACATTTTGAAATATTTAGAGATTATATTATAAGTAGGGATACACCATAATGAAAATTCTGGGCCGAAAACCAAAAATTCTGGATGCACTTGGCCGAAAACCGAAACCAAAAATGCTTTGTAATAATTATTTATTATTTTATTAAATAATATAAAG